AGAGAGAGAGAGAGAGAGAGAGAGAGAGAGAGAGAGAGAGAGAGAGAGAGAGAGAAAGAGATTGAATGTGAGAAGAAAGTTCACATTTCTTCTGAACAATATAAATTTATTGCCGGTAAATGTGTTTCTAACTGGTCTCTATTGCATTAATTAAGATGTGTATGTGTGGCATGCAAAGTTGCATGTTACAGTTGAGTGATATCTTCTTGAATTGGTCGTTCTAGACGTTCGTTCCAACGATTTGAGTTATGACTTGTAGGTTCACGGGTTACTGGGTTTCTAGTTGTGCCTATTATATCTGTCCGTTCCCATTTTAGCCACGTGTCAATTATTCAATTGTTATGTTAAAAAAGAAAAATAAAAATTTCTCTTAAAATTGAAGAAACAATAATTGCGTTAAATATCTATTATACTTTTTTGATGTTTTTATGCTGTTTTTAATTTAGCTATAATTTTCTTTTCAATTTAGCGAAGAATGCGATTGATATAATTGAAGCTGTGGGGATGCAAGAGCAACTTTTCGGAATGAGAAGAACGGAAAGCCGTTGCAAAGATGATACGATCGCGTACGATATTATGGAAGCTGCGATTTTGATGGCTCCTACCAATGTATTATTTCCGGCCGGCATACCACAAGATTTTTCTATCTTAGTTGTTGCAAAGCCGAAAGCTAACGAATCAACATCCAAAAGTAATATATATAATAATTATTCGCAGATAATTATAATTGAACATGCTTATATCTGCTTTCATTAAAATGTCCAAATCCATAATGATATTATTAATTCAGTAAAGTGCAGATTCTTTTTTATAAAAGATAATACAAAATAATTTGAAAATAGAGAGATATTAGATATTAAAAATCTTAGATATTAAAAAATTCAGTCATATGAAACATATAAAATTTTGTCAATTTGTTTATTTAGCAAAATTAGTTCAATATAATGGTTTACAAACATTTCCTAAATCTTTATTTAAATAGCTGTTGAATTTTATTAATAAAAACTCAAAGATTATTATTTTTGTCTTATATTTTGAAGTCTTTGTTTCATTGATATTCGTAGATTACTCCACGTCGGTGCTTTTTACTATCTATGGTGACAGTGGCGAAGAACAGTTAATTCTTTCGTTGGGGCGTGACATTAAATTTTTCTATAGCACAAATCCGGATGACAGAAATGAACTTATTTCTTTTGATGTCGATATTTCTGACGGGCAATGGCATCGATTAGGAGTTAGTATTAAGGGAGACTCCGTTACAATTATTCTCGATTGTAATAGACATATTACGAAAAAATTACGGAGGAATGTGGAGAAAACGATCGCTGGCATCCTTATGATTGGACAGCAACTTAAGGGCGATTTATATCTGGTGAGTGAAGAATTCAAGATAATATAATATAGAATAAAAAATATTAAATAAGTTGATAAAGAATTTCCTTCTTAAAAAGATTGTAAGATTTGTAATTAAACTCGATGATAAAAGTTAAGTTTACAATTGTAAAATTTTATGACAAGATCATTTTATATCTATTCAGGGAAGTCTTGAGATGCTGAAAATTGCTCTAAATCCAGACGCTGCTTATGAAATCTGTACAATGTTTGCGCCAGATTGTGAACATGAATC